TTCTCAAGAAACACATACTACAAAAGCATAAGCGCTCTACCTCAGCTGTCATGGTGCATAACTTTGTGAAGAGCGCGTCACAGGCTCGCGGGATAAGTCCGCGATGTTCAGCATTTACAATAAAATTGTCGACTTGGGGAGGTCCGAACATTGTATAAGTTTTTCCTGAGCCGGTTTGGCCTAAAGTATGACAACTTGCGTAGCGTGCTAGGGATATGATTTGGAATTGTATACTCACCATATGCGAAAATGGTTCCATTGAATCCGTTTACACATCCGTCTACGATATGGTTGGCAACTTCTCGATATACTTGCTCCTAAGAATGGGTTCAGATGAGTGTGATGATGTGTTAGCTTTGTTGTTTGCATCCACATCTGCGCCGGCGTTTTGAACGTACTTCAGCATTTTGAGCACTTTGAACGACTGGGAAAGTATACGTATCGACGAGCGTTTTGAAGACAGCCCCCTCATGTAGTTCATGGTCGTCCTTCCTTGTGCAAGTAGTACAGCCCCCAAGCTAGAGACTGTCCCACTCTCGCGACTCCACAGCGAGCGAGGAGCGAGCTACAGCCGCTCAAAGTTCTAGTTCTAACGCCCGCCCAGTTGGACCGCCCCACTTGCTAGCTGCCCTCTGACGGAGAGCCGCTCAGTTGTTCTTTGTTGGGACGGCGGGCATTAATCGGAACTGCATGTACTTTTTGCTGACCGCGCTCGTGCCCATAAATAATTCTGCTCTCCTTCATCACATTTTATTCATTGGGAGCACATACAGTCAACTGCAACCCATCTCGTAAGGTAAAACGCGTAAAAATCACGAATGATGCAATTTCTGTGGTGCAAAAGCTCGACATGCACCAAAAGCTGCACACTGCACGTAACCCCAAATTCGGACGCCAGGTTTTTGAATTTTTCCTTTTTCAAGTGTTTTCGTTCGTGTCTTTGTTGTTTTGTCTTTTCATATTCTTTTCTTTGAAATTGCGCACTCTCTGTCCCACTACGGGGAAAACGGGTGTGTGCGTGGTTCTTAAACACTCACTTCACAGACGCTATCATTGCCTTCGGGATACTCGCCTGCGGCGGCTCGTTGCCCGACTTGAAATTGCGCCTCTCGCTAACTCTCCTGACCTCTTCCTCTCCAGGAGCCCGAGCTGAGCCAAAGCCTGAACAGGAATGTCGAGTAGGAAAAGACTATTAAACAAAAAACGTTGAAATGTCCGGAAACAATAAAAACAATGTTTTTCGTAAATTCAAGAGTCCAAGACACAACATTCAACAGACTCAGGGCAAACTGAAATTGCCAAACGTTTACACAACATGAAATCACCCGCAATATTTGTGGGAGAAAGGGCACTTTACGTTGAACAAAGAATTTGTATTGTCTTTTCACCATAGGAACGGCTATCCCAAATGATTTGAACTTTCGTAACTCTGTCTATGATTGCTGAAAAGTTTCTGAATGCGCCGTTCTGCCGCCAAAAACTCGCTTTAATTGGACTCTATTGATGCCCATCTATATGCCTCATTAGGTACCTCGGGAACAGTATAGTACTATGCATGTGCCGTTTCCCTCGTTTTTCTTTAGGCTGCGAAGCCCAACCACCTCGGCGGCCACACGATCTTTCGATGATTGATGAACTTCGGCTCAACTCCGCTTCCTGCTCTTAATGCGCCGGCTTCATTGTCACTTTCAGCACACAACTCGCTCATTTTATTGCACATACCTCCACTCCAGGTTCCCAGCAATCTTTAGATTCCCTTTTAGCACCAGCAGAAACACAACCCCGGGTTATATAGACGAACGACAGTTAAGTAAATATGGAAAACGAGACGGAATAATTTACAGGATTGTAGGTACCAGCCACTCGTTCACTTTTTATTACATGTATGGGACGAAACACTACGAGTTTGCTACTAACACTACCATCTAAGCCTAATTTAACTTGAATGTAATACAATTTTCCAATCTCATTTCGTGTTTCGTTTTAATTCATTTCAGCATGCTTTTCATCTCTGATTGTTTCATGTGGTTGAAATTTTTTAAATTGCAGCCCTTATTCCTATTAAATTTGCTAAAAATCAGCTGTAAATAATCAGTCACCATGATGTAATCGTTAAGTAAAGGTCAGGAGTTTGAGAGAGTAATTAAGTCAAGCAACACCGCAGGCCAGTCTACCCGAGAGCATATACGTGTGAGGTGAGATTACTTTTAAGAAAGTCCTGCACCCCTGGGAAACGCCATAAAGGGAATCGTGAGCCAGGGGTTGCCCACGGACTGCAGGGCGGTGTAACTGTAAGGGAGCAGTTTTGTTTATGGTGTTCCTGAGGGCTCTTGTTGCTTTTTCCTTCTCTGAGGAACTGCTTATCAGCTAACTGTTTCATAATTGATCAGCAGCTATCCTTGACATTTTTATCGCGGGAGCTATCTTTGAGCAACTAGGAAAGAATAGACATTGATCCGAAGTTTGCTGAGACTCCCGCGAAAAACTCAAAAGGTTGCCGCACGCTAGACCGATCTATACTTCACGAGTGCGGCTCAAGACGCCCAAAGCGGCTGACGGCAAGTTAACAACGCCGATTCTGGAATGCGGCCACATTGTATAAGCGAAGCCACTACGCCGACTTTGATCGTCTGCACTCCTATTCTCATCGAGTGATCCCTTTCTTCTAAAATCAAATCTCAATCTCAGATTTGAATGACGGGTGGGCCGCTCCCTAAAGCCACCATGTGGCCCCTCCAACTACTACAGCGACAATGAAGTTATCTAAATGAAGACCAACTCGAGCACCTTACCTGCGGAATCGTCTCATCGAAAACCGCCTCAAATGCGTAATTCCTCGGCTCACTTGGATTGGAAACTGAAAAAAATCATTGAAGTGAGGGAGGAAACATAACACAAATGGGGGCCCTTACCATAACGTTTTACCATCAAGTACGTATGTTATCCGCTCGCTATCGCATGCCGATGGACGTATTCTTGCAATAACACGAACCGATTCAGCGCTTTCCATATCTGAAATGTGCACCACTATGCTGCCGACCAATGCGGAACTTCAAAACCCTGCCTTCAAAAAGAAACATAGTGGGGAAATACATGCGAAAGATGACCGCCACCCTAATTAATTGAAGTGTGCGGCCACACCCTAACCATAGAAGTGATATTTTGAATTATCGATTGAAAGAGGTCTCGACAGTACGCAGGGGCGGTACTACTGGCGGTACCGTACTCAACCAACCCCTTCTTTTCTTTCGGCAAGCGACAGGACTATATCATATCGTTCGTATCAACCCTATTCCAGAAATTATTGTCTCTTACTCACTCCAAAAATGAGCACAGAACGGGCTGGAGGGGCTGGTGCGGGTTACATAATTGCGGTCATCACTGCGGAGGGACTTTTTTTTACCTGGTACATATGTGGAGGGAGTCGATCTTTGTCTATTGATGCTTTTAATGATTAATTTTTCCCCATTAGCCATCTCGTATTCCCTTTCTCTGCGCTCGACGGCAATTTTTGGGGGGATTGTAAACTTCAGTGAGATTGTGCGGGTGATTGTAAAGCTGTTGACTTGTTCTATTCAGAGAGCAACTTTAACAACATTGACGACAGCGTGAATCGCATGCAATGCGCACTTTGTAGGCCGCGTGGGACCGCGTGCATATATACGATTCACGATCAACAAATCCATATCTTTCACCAGTGCATGGTTTTTTGTTTACTTTCCCATATTCATACTATAGTTCAACCCTCAGTGTACTCGCACAACTCGTTCGGTCCATGAAATAGTTTAGAACTCACTAGTTTAGCAAAGACTTCCTGGGATAGTATACCCTTCGCTTCGATTGATTTGTCTTCAATCATTTACTCACAAATATGAACAAATACAGCAAATACAACAATCAACCACATGAAAAATGTAATGAGGGTTTACTTTCTTATAGAAGGCACGACATGTGTTTCTTGTGGAAACATTGGACCCAGAAAAATCTTTGGCAGCGAGTGATGGCTTGCCTAGTTTTCTTCATAGCTATTGCACGTCCCTGCTCTTTCGAAATTGTGGGGTAGCATCCGGACATCGTCTTATAGTTCTTGGGACCTCGTACTTCTTCTAGCTCGTGTCTTGTAGGAAGGGGCCGAGCTTGAACATTCTCATGCATACTGTTCAGCAACGACTCGCCCAAGTCCATTTTGAAGTCATTCGGAGTCGCACTTTCCCCATTACATCCTTGTACAGGGGGCCAAAAAAGTCACTTCGACCAAGTCACATATCAGCAAAGTTTTCGCAGCCCAGACAGAGGACGGGATTAACGAGTGCCGGGGCGCGGAAGATACCCAAGAAGTTCCTCGATGAGCAGGAGTTGGCTCTCGCTTATCACCTTCATGTACACCAAAATATGAAGTCATCTCCAGTCGCAACCTGACTGGAGAAGACTTCGGAATTCATGTCACCTCCAAACAGCTGCGAAACTTCTAGTATGGAGTCACCCAGTTGGATAGCCTACTAGCGACCAGTCTTCTCGCATTGGAAATACCTCCAACATCGAGCAGCTCCGACAACGTCGCTACAGTCTAGGACATCATCTTCACCGTAGTCGCCGAGGCGCGAGTTGATGGTATGGACCGGAGTACCTAAAATGGGAAGACCGATATTTTCTTTGTAGACACCCGGACTGAAGGTGAGCGCTGGCGGGTACATCGAGCGACTCGAGAAGAATATCCTCCCTACTTGTCGTGTCCGTACCTTCTTGGAAACTTTGTACTGC